GATGAGGCTTTCTACTCCTGTAAAGATTTACACCCTCGGAAACCCTGTACAGGGTCGCTATGGGTTGGAACCGACTCGATGGCACTTAACAACAACATATAGTTAAATATATGCCAGTAAGTGTTTATACGCAATATAAAAATCTGCTTCCAAGTGATTAAAGTAATTTGCAAAAGAATTGTGGTCTTACTTTCAAATAATTATTTTGAAAATAGTATCCTTTTATCTTGTTTAGTTAAAACCACAATATGATTCAGTGATTGAGAAAGAATGCTGTTAAGTATTTACTTAATTACTTTAGAAATTTGCACATTTATTTGTTTGATAAATGATCAGAGGTTAAGTTTTTATTATGTACCTAATGATACCTTCATTTGCTGAATTGTGAGATAACGATGAGGCCATTTGCTCTCTTAAAGATTTAGTCTCAGAAACCCTATATAGCGTCGTTATGAGTCAGAATCAACTCAATGACCATGTGTTTGGTTTTGGCTTCATTTTCTCAATAAAGCAGCCCTGGTGGAGCAAAGGTTAAGGAGTCAACTGGAACAGAAAGGTCAGCAGTTCAAGTCCATCAGGGGCTCTGCAGAAGAAAGACCTGGTGTTCTGACCCTGTAAAGATTACAGCTTAGGAAAGTTTATGGCGCATTTCTACTGTGTCCTGTATGGTTGCTGTGAATCAGAAAGAATTCAAAGCACACAGCAACAATAACAACAACGTTCTCAATCAAGAAACCTTGGTGGCACAAGAGTCAAGCGTTTGACTACTAACTATAAGATTGACAGGTCCAACACACCCAATAGTTCCAAGGGATATGGCAATTGCTTTCTACAAGAATGTATCCAAGAACACACCCTGGGGTAATTCTGTTCTGTCATAAGGGATCACTGTGAGTTGGGATTGACTGGAAGTCACCTAACAACTGCAGACATTCTCAGTAGGAATCATTGTTTAGCAGTTGTATTTGTTTAACTGATCAAATCACATTTGTGCCTTTGCTTCTTATGCTAATGTATACTGAACATCTTTGTATTTGATAAACAGCTCTCCAGTGGAAATTAAAACAGTAGATTGAAAATGAAAATGATAATAACATTTTATTTTCTGATAGATATCAGTTACAATATATGTGAGCTGTAAAATAAATATTATTTGAAAGTGTTCTGGATATTTGTCTTCATCAATAAAATATGACCAAAAAGCCAAGATAGTAAAATTAACATCTATAAAGATGTTCATGTTCCTAATTTCTAGATAAGCATTTTAGTGTCCCCATATGTAACTGGCATACATTATTGCATCCTTCATTTATCGATCAAAAATAAAAATATCCTTGGTATGCTTTGACTGGTTTCATGTGATTATTTTTCTTTTTCAAAAGGAAAGCTAAAATATAAATTATCTTAAGTTTTTGATACGTATTTTATATAAATATATCAGTGAACTAGAAAATCCATTTTTCTGTGGCTTTCTAGTACAATAAGATATTCCACTAACCTATATCTGTATTTATTACATAATTTTTCCTACTAAAAATATTTCATAGGTGGTAGAAGGAGCTCTGGTAGCGTAGTGGTTACGAATTGGGCTGTGAACCACAAGGTCGGCAATTCGAAACTATCAGCAGTTCTGTGGGAGAAAGATGAGGCGTTCTGCTCCTATAAAGATTTACAGCCTCGGAAACCTTGTGCAGGGTCGCTATGAGTCAGAACCCACTCCAAGGTACTTAACAACAACAACAATAGTTGTAAGAGGCAATAACTAATATTTTAATTTTTCCAGGCATTTAAATCTTCAACATTGAATAAAGACTTTAAATACTCCAAAATTATAATTCTACTCATATCTAAAACAAACAGAAAAATGGAGAGAAATGAAATTTATCTAAATTAGTTTGTGGATCACTAAAATTATTTTTAATCTTATTTTAAAAAATACATTCATATAGATTTTGTAATATAGATCAAGGTTCTATAATCATTGTATAACCTGTATTTACAAACAGTCCCCTATAAACTCTATATATTAAAAATGTCAGGTACAAAAAAATCATCTGTAATAACAAATGAGCACTCTTGGGGACATGCATCAAAACATTATTATTATTATTATTATTATTATTAATGCATTATGTTAAATATGTTTTAACATATCTGGAAGTGTTTCTTTAATTTTTTATGCATAAAGAAGTATATTATACACTATATGCTAAAATGAGCATTTGACTAATTGCCCTTAGATACGAATCATACCTAACTATTCTGATTTGCATACAGATTCAATTTATAGATAGATTAGGAGAGGAACTAATTTGTAATCCAGCAACTTCCTGTATTTCTGTTAAGCAGGGACATAAGTTTGATATCATTTTCATTTAAGAGTAGCATAGTAAGTTAGCTACTGAGATTTCTAAAGTCATAAACTCTGTCCAGGAAAGTTGGCAAAGAGCCTTAATATTTGTTTTTTTGTGTTTTCTTTTTCCTAATAACATCTTGCCTGTTAACTTAAATGAATTAAAACATTCTATGGGAGTCCTGGTGTGGCACTGTGGGTTAACGTGCCAGACTGCAAAGCAGCTTGAACTACAAGGTCGGTGGTTCAAGCTCACCAGTTGCTCCTTAGAAACTCTATACAGAGTCACTATGGGTCAGAACAGACTCGACAGCACTTAACAACAACAACATGTGTTTTCTAAAGGATGTGTTCTTGCAGAGGTAATAGGAAGGTATATATAGTTGCTATGATGTTTATTTCATGTGACCTGAACACATACTACTTAAAAAACTCTTGGAATATTGTCATTTTTTTTCCTGGACTGTTGTTCTCCAAAAGAGAATAATACACATAATTTTTACTGCACCTCTTTGTAGAAATCTCATATCCCCAAAATTCTACAATTGCCTCAACCTTTAAGAATTTTGATATGGTAACTCAAACCCTCTTTTGAAAGTACTTCAAAATGTATTTTAGATATGTGAACAAGTATTAGAATTTGTATCAATAAATTTTAATTCCCAATTTATTATATTTACATTATATTTACTTGTATAAGTTTGTTAGCCCCATTTGAAGTCTGATTTAGGTGTTTGTGAGCTTTTTATTTCACTGCATCTGTGTCTTGCCCAATATCCTCTTAGGACCTCTGGCAGCCTCCTCCTCTGAGTGTTTACCTTTCTGTGCGTGCTTTGACGCAGCATCAGTCTCCTTGTCTTTATCTTTATCATCCTTGTCTTTGTCTTTGGATTTAGGTGATGTTTTCTGTACTTCTTTTACTTTTGCAGCTGTTTGCTTCACTTTCTCCTGTTTTCCACCTTTCACTTCCTTTTTAGTCTTTTCTTCAGTCTTTTCCTTAGGTTTAGCTTTCTTCTCTTCTGTATAGAGGCAAATAAAACTTGAATTATGTTGGTTTATTTAACAACATAGCACTTAATCTTTCTTGGTCATTAAGAAAAATTCACAAAAAGAGGAAAGAAGCAATAGAAAAATAGTGGTCTTAATTTATGGACTATTTATCTGAATTAGGTGTAGAATTAGCACCGGACTACAAACCAGAAGATCGGCAGTTCAAACCCACCAGTTACTCCTTGGAAACCCTATATAGGGTTGCTTTGCGTTGGAACCGACTTGACAACACTTAGCAATAACAATGTCAGACTCTTAAAAAATATACAGTTCACTAGAAAGCTGGGGCACATTCTTAATTCATACATGAAAACACTAATTCTATATAGTCAGAGACTCCATATGTTAACAAGATGTTTGTAATCTGCATGCAATGTATATATAGTTATATTTACTCAAAGGCAATGTCCATACCAAAGATCCAAAAGCAGTCTTTTTAAAAAAAGATCTGAAATATCTCAAAAGTCATTCAAGAAATTGAATGCCAACAAAGTATTTTTTAAGATATCTATTAGGAATGTGGAGACTAGGTGTGGCACTATAGGATAAGCACTGGACAACTAGCTAACTGCAAGATCCGTGGTTCAAATCCACCAGCCACTCTTCAGAAACCCTACAGAGGGCTGTTAGAGGCTGAAATGACTCAACAGCACTTAAAAGCAACATTAGGAATGCAAATGTAAAACTACCTGCACTGGTAATGACTAATAGGAACCACCAGACACTTCTTGGAAAGGGTTGCTATGAGTCAAAACTGTCTCAATGACACTTAACAACAAAAACACAATGTCTTAGTAAGTCAACTACAATGTTGCAATATCCTGTATCATTTGCTAATACAATGTGTAGTTCTTAGGTTATTGTTTTTTTTTGGGTTTGTGAGTGTGTTATGTCATCCATGTTGAAGCATATGATGAAAACACTATAGTCAAGTTTCTTGACTTTGGTACACTAAGCAACAATTTGAGAACAAGTCAAAATAATATTGTAAAGTTCCACAGAGAGACGAATGAAAATGATAACAACTAGCGTGTTGTTGTTAAGTGCCATAGAGTCAATTCCAACTCCTAAAGACCCTGTATAGGTTTTCTGAGGAGCAGCTGGTACGTTTGAACTGCTGACCTTGGGGTTATCAGTCCACTGCTGATCCTACAGTGCCACACCAGTATTCCAGTAACTAGCATGGTGGTGGTGGTTATGTCTTGGAGTCACTTCGGATTCATAGTGACCCTGTAAAGGATTTCCCAGGCTGTAAATCTTTATGGGAGCAGAAAGCCACATCTGTTTCCTGTGGAACCTCTGGTAGTTTTGAACTCCTGACCTTGAGATTAGCAGTCTGATTTGTAACCACTACACTACCAAAGCGTCTTAGTAACTAGCATATTGTTGTTATTGTTGAGTGCCATCGAGTTGGTTCCGACTCATAGTGACCCTATATAGGGTTTCCAAGGAGCAGCTGGTAAGCTTGAACCACCGACCTTGCAGTTAAAATGACTTTGCAGTCTGATGCATTAGCCCACAGCACCACACCAGGACTCCAGTAACTAGCATAGGATAGCTCAAAATCAAACTCCTCTGTGTTCCTGCGATTAGCTGACTAGATTAAATTGCTGTTCTTCATTACCTTTCCAATATGGTTGATACTGTGCTTGAGAAAGGAGATCATCCCTATTATCAAATAAATTCGAGAATACTAATTTAAACCTACGAGCTCTGGTAGTGTAGTGGTTATGAATTGGGCTGCGAACTGCAAGGTCAGCAGTTCATAACTACCAGTTGTTCCGTGGGAGAAAGATGAGGCTTTTTGCTCCCATACAAGGTCTCTATGAGTCAGAACCAACTCCACAGCACATAGCAACAACAACAATTTAAACCAGATCATTTATACCATTTTTCCAAGCTTAGTGTGTTGAGAATCTTGAAGAAAGGGAATATATTATGCATTGTTTTCCAAAGTTATTTGACCACATACCTCTCATACAAATACTACGGATTTTCACAATACACTTAGGCTTTCTTAATAGCTTGTGTGATTACAATCATTCAGTAAGGATTTTCTTCTACATCTTCTAAACCATTTCCCAATCTCCTTTTCTGGCTTCTTTTCTTTTTTTTTCTTTTAATAGCAAACTCATACATTTATGTTGTTGCTGTTGTTAAGTGTGTTCAAATCAGTTTTGACTCATAGCTACCCTGTATAGGGCTTCCGAAGTTTTTAAATCCTCTCAGGAGCAAAAAGCCTCAATGTTTGTTTTCCTGTGGAGTGAGTGGCTCGAACCATGGACCTGATGGTTCACAGTCCAATGCTTATCACATGGAGCCACCATGTTCCCTCAGCTCTTAGCTGTTGTGTTGTTGCTAAGTGTCATCTAATCATAGCAACCCCATATAGGTTTCCCAGGAAGAGACTGGTGACTTTGAACCACTGACATTGTTGTTCAAACTGATATTGTGGTCCATTGTTTTAACCCATAGCACCATACCAGGATTCCTTAGCTTTCTGTATATGACTTTATATCGACAGATTCCATAACCTCAATCTAAAATGTTCATAAGTTAACTGGAAATAGAATTCTAGTATGGTGCCCAAAGCATACCAGACTCATATAACCCTCATCTGTTCATCTAACAAACACTTCCAAAGAGCCTGTCATACCCTGGGCTCAGAGTTAATTGCTGAAGTTCTAAAAAGAAGCAAGATGATATGCCTAACTAAAGAAATAAGCATAAAATTTACAATTCTGCCATGTCTAGACATGTTCTTAGTTCTACTCTCATAGTTTGTCAAAAGTTTCTTTCTCTACTAGAGGACTTTCTGTTTCTTGAATATCTCATTTAATTTGCACATGTCAAACAATGCCAGACTGCATTCTCTAAATTGTTGTTTTCTATATGTATACATTTTTCCATCTTTAATTCATATGCAACAAATGGCTCTGCCATTGGAATTAATCATACCTCTAAATTTTATTTGCTTGAACCTTTATTAAAACATACATATTATTCTGCCTTTTATCTTGTATCCACAATGATGTCTGTCAGTTTGTCCCTCTGTGGTGGCTTCTGTCTTATGATGCTGGAAACTGTAACAGTGACATTTCTATTGGCAGCAGGGCCACTCACAGTGGTCAGGTTTCAGTGGAGCTTTTAGAATAAGACAGACTAAAAGTAAAGACCTGGATATCTTCTTTGAAATGTTATGGATTATAATATTGCTCTATACAATATAGGTAGATGAGCCCCCTAGGCACAATATATTAGCCACAACAATGGATTCAAACAAACAAATGATCTTATGCATGATGCAGGACTGAGGAACCTTTTGTTCTGTTATACATAAGATCAACATGTATAAGAGCTGAGTCAACAGCAACTAGCAACTTGTATTGTAGATGGCTCTTCATATTATTTGTCTTCCCTACAAGACTGAGAGCAACTTGTAGGACTATATTATTTGTTTACGTATCATCAAAGTGTATAAAATATTGCTTTCTTTGGGAAAAAACAGAACAAATGCTTACTGAAATAGCGATTTCGATTCGGTCAGCAATAAGGTACAAGATCTTATGACACTTCAAATTTGTCTGATTTCATCTTATACTGCACCTCTCTGTTTTTAAAGTTTATGTGATTAGGTAGCATCTCTTACTACCTTTTCAGCCATTACAGTGGCAACAATGGCGAAGGTGAGTTCCATAAACCAGATTCTACGCAACACACAGCAACTGAAGACTTCAGGTTTCCTTGGCTTCAGTAAATCCAGGCTGTAGATCACAAACTTCTTTTCTGATCGTGTATTGCCTCAGTCAAACCCTATTTCACACCCATGTTCAACCTCTATAATGTGGACATGAGTTATGTGACTGGGCTGCTTGAGACTTTCCTGGAAAGAATCAAACTGCCTCAGAGAAAACAGTTCGTTAAATAGATATGCCTAGAAGCTTTGATGCCCAAGGAGAATGGTCAAACTATCCAACCATTAAACTATACCAAAGACCAATATTCTTGTGGATCTTTCTAAGTGTTTGGGGCCATGGGGATGATTTCTGACCAAGTCTGCATTCACACCAATGAGAATCCAATGTGGAGGTGTCTACTGAGGACCTCCTCCACTGCTCTGCAGTATAGGAATGGCTGTAATGGAGGCCTTTCTTCCGGAGTATGGAACTTCTGGAACAGCAAACGTCTGTCTCTGGGAGCTTCCTGTTCCATTTCCCAATGTAAGAACCATTTCTTGTAATGAAAATAGTGCAGCAAGACCTGTGTGCCTGGAATACTCTCTCTTACAAAGAAGACAAGTACTACACCTGCAGTTTCTACTGTGTCTTTTAGGGAAATCATGGTTGATAATTACAAGAATGGCCAGGAAGAGGGAGCTTTCTCTGTGTATGCTGACTTGTTGTAGTACAAATGTGCAATGTGGAAACAAATCAGAGATGGTGGTTGGCATTACATGTACCGATCAGTACTTGATTGCATGTTTGATAAGTTTCAGAGTGAAGAAATTGGTGTTGGTTGTTGTTAAATGCTGTTGACTTGGATCTAACTCAGGGTTTCTGAGGAGCATCTGGTGAGTTTGAATCACCAACCTTGTTCTTACTGATCCAGTGCTTATCCTACAGTAACGGATCAGTACTCCAAAGAAG